CGACTCAGAGTGAGGGACAGCACGTGGGGTGCGCTGAGCGGGGCCCCACGCCCTGGGCTGGGACCTCCACAGTCCGTCCTGCGGAGCCTGTCGCTAACCCCGCTGTGAGCCCAGCAAAGGGCCAAAGGCCAGCAGCACCCTGCACCTTCCCGAAGAGGGCTCAGCCCCTTCCTGGGGGGCTTCTGTCACTCGGATGTCACCTCAGCCTGCCTCACTGCAGAGGTGGCCAGAGACAGGCACCTCTTCTGTCAGGAAGACGTTTCTAGCCCGTGGCTGCCCTACCCGGGCCGAGCTCAGGGCCATCCCGGCTGCACAGCCTCCCCTTCGGTCTTCAGGCCTCCCCGCCTGTGATGCCATATACTGCCTTCCCCCTTCCCGCTCCTGAAGCAGACGTGACACCCTCAGTGACCAGGAGTTGTAACAGGAGTGACAGCGCTGAGGGTGCGGGCAAGGAGCTGCTACGCAGAGGCGTCAATTCAGAGAGACGTGGCCTCCCTGCTTCACAATCTCAGGTGACAACTCCTTACACAGAGGGTGTCGCTCTAGGAGGGGACGGGGCTTGGTCACACAGTGCCTCACACAATCTCCGGGTTCATCCGGAATCAGCCTCTCTCACAACAGGAGGGACAGGAGCCCTTAATGCCTGATAAAGACCACACACACACCCTTACACACACACACACACTCACACACTGATTTAGGCACTTACTTGTGCTGTTGTTTCTATGGTTACTGATCTCTTCATTCTGTCAGTACCTTTGTCAAATCCTTCTGGCACTGCGAAGGAAAGTGGCTTGTTTTGGTTGCCACAGAAACCGGAATGTCACTGATGTTAGCATTCTACGGGAAGCAGGAAGTCCTAAGGCAGACTTAAAGGCCCTGAGCTGATCTCTTCCTCATCAGATCCACTCTGCCCATTCCAGTCTGAGAAGGGAAGGACGCCAGGAAGGAAGGGAGGGATAGTGGGAGGAAGGAAGGGAGGACAGAAGGGAGGGATAGTGGGAGGAAGGAAGGGAGGAAGGAAGGGAGGATGGAATGGAGGGATAGTGGGAGGAAGAAAGGGAGGGATAGTGGGAGGAAGGAAGGGAGGAAGGAAGGTAGGAGGCCAGTAAGGACGGAAGGGAGAGTAGCAGAAAGGAAGGAAGGACAGAGCGAGGAAGGACAGAAGGCTGGAAGGAGGGCAGGAAGGGACGGACTGGAGCATCAGTCCAATCCTCTGTGGAAAGAGAATTCCGGGAGGGGAGTTCCCCAAGCTAGGTGCCTGGGGAGCAACGTAAAAGGTGGCACACTTGGTTCTCCCCTATCCGGAGCTCTTCAGCCTCCCGAATACCTGGGGAGAAGGACGGGGAATCAAGGAAACCACATTCAGGGTGCCGTGGGGACCGGGAGGAAACTGTCTCGTGTATGAGCTCTGATGAACTCCACAGTGGGCCTGCTCTGATTCATCGGAAAGGAGCTCAGGGGAGCGGGTAGTGTGCTATCCAGGGACAGCGACTGTAGTAAGCTGAGGACACCAGATAGGGACCGAGTTTATCACCTCCAAGGGGCACAAGTCCAGGTCCTTCCCCAGACCAGGAGGTCTGCGTTGTATATCGCCCTCAGCAGATGCTGTCTCTCAGGAGCGCCTTCTGTGGCTTCCACACAGCCCGGAAGTCGTGCTTGTCTGTTCCCCAGGCAAGTTAGCACCGGGCTGGGCACTGCGGGGCTGTGGCCCGGGCCCCTCCAAGCTATGTGCATCACGGCTGGTCCCCAACACACAAGCCCTCATATATTCCAGGGAACACACTATAGCACTTGCTCCCCTGCGTGACCCACTCACGTTTGCACAATCACACATTTGATGACACATGTCACCCAGTGACACACACATGCTCTTCATCAGTGACATATTTGATGACACATGACATAGGAGGTCTCATTCAGCAACACGTACTCACACTCTTTGGGTGACACATTTGCACATTCCATGACGCATGCAAAGTGACACTCAAGTGTCTGTGGTCAAGGACCCCCACTCACCCATACACTGAAACTCCTCTTCAGACACAGGCACTGTCACTCGTATTCAGTGACACAGTGTCAACCTCAATGGCACACCCAGACTTGCATATACTCAGTAATACACATGTGCCCACTCTGACCCAGGGACAGAAAAGCTCCCACAGGCTGCCTGTGATCAGCCCTTCTACCCTGTCTTCTCTTCTGGCCCCCACAGGTCAGAGGGGCTCTTAGTGGCCAGTTGTTGTCCTCCTAGACAAAGAGGGAGGGCATGAGGGGACAGCACCTTGCCCGATGAAGGAAGGGATAGCAGACTCTATCTGGGACCCTGGTCTCCTGCCCAGATGGGATAGGCTGCAAGAGGCCGAGAGGCCAGGTCGAGACTCACAGATGTTTCCCATCCCTCCCTGTCACGCTCATGGCCCTGCGCACTCAGGGTCATTAAAAGCCTTTCCTCCCCTGCAGCTCTGTTGCCTGAAGCCCTCCTTGCACAACCAGCTCATGCAGATGCAGCCGGTGTCCTGGCCCTTGCTCCTCAGCTTTTTGGAAGACTGTCCTTCCTCTCTCCCTTGGGGATAGTCAGAGGCTGTCCTGTTTGGAGACAGTAGGATGCCTGTGGGCACAGCAGTGCTGAGGGCCAAGCAAGCACAGATGCTTGTCAGGAAAGGAGCTCTTGCCACGCCTCCCATAGCCTCCCCTCCAACACGACACCAACTCCCAGGACACAGGGTGGCAGCCTCCCACCTGGCTGGATGGGGAGCAGGACAATAACTCAGGCTGCAGGACGGCTCTCCCTGCCTTCCACGCCTCCCTGAGGCGTGAGCTCAGGAACCCCTGGCTGTCCTGTCTTGTCCTGTGGCGGGCACCCCGCCCTGGCCTTCTCCAAGGGTCTCTCAATGGCCAGACCAGGCTGGGCACCTATGGCAGTCAGGGGAGGCAGTGTGACACAGGTGGGAGAGTACCAGGCCTGCCCAAGGGTCCTGCCCAGGGCATCTGATCTCAGGCCATGCCCTTCAGATGCCCTCACCAGAGCTTCCTTGCCAGGCACACTGGCCTCTGAGCGCTGGATGCCCGGAGCCCTCCCAGTACTGCCAAGGACCCCAGGGCCTCAGGTCCTGCCTGCCAGTGTCCCGTGCCCTCCAGTCCACGCCTAACCCCTCATTCCCGGGGGCTCCCCAAGTTCCCCAGTGGTGGCCACACCCACCAGGGTCCTGTTGCCCTCCTCCGGCCAGCCCAGAGGACTCGATCACCTCAGCTCACTCAGACCCTGTCCCCCACACCCTGCTGCTGAGATACACACCGTACCCCACCCGGCCCCTCTGATGCTCCCTCGGCTGCCCACAGCTGAGACGGGACACGGCTGGAACATCCAGGAACATTTATTAAAGAAAAACACCTCATGAACCATTGAAGAAACACAACAAAACAGACAGGACCTCCTGAGGGCCGTGAGGGGCCACAGGCCCTGGAGCCCCCGCCCTCCTGCTCAGGTGCCTCATCTGCCCCCACTGCCAAGATCTCCCCTCCTGAGGCCTCAGAGCTGCCTCTCGCCAGGATGATGGTGCCCGGCGATGCCCGCTCACTGCAGGAACAACTTCCGGGTGGCTCTGCCCCATGGCCAGCACAGGACACACCCGGGACACTGGAAAGCACAGCAGGGAGCAGCCCACCACGCCGAGGAAACTGAGTCACTAGTGACAACAGAAGTAGAACATCAAAGCAGTCCCCGGTCTCCCTCCACCCCTGGTCCAGTTCATCCTGTCCAAAGTTGTAGTCCCAATCACCGTCACAGTCCAAGTCCCAGGGCGACTCCGTCGTTGTCCACTCTTCTCTTCTCCTGGGATGGGTCTTGGGATCTCCTGGCAGGAACTGTTCAGATAACAACACACACAACTCCACGAGAACAAGCGGCAGGCAGCTGGCCCAGATCCACCCATAGAAAGCAGAGATTGAGCTCCCCACACTGGGCAGGAGCGGCCAGAGCCTTGGCTGGCACAGAAGGAAGCTCAGGGCATGTGCCCAGGCCTGGAGGTGGCCAGCTGGGTGGGCGAGGTGAGCCGGGACCTCTGCCGGGGTTTGACACACACACCTCCCAGCTTTGCACAAGAACCGCGGCTAGGGTGGGGATGGGCGTTCGCCTGAACCATGGGTCACGGTGGAGCCTGTAGATAGGAGTGAACTTCCCGGGACAGAAAACGGTCTGCACCAGGGACAGGAACAAGAAATGGAGGGGTGATGGGGTGGTCCCCCCTACTGGGAGAGCCAGGCAGCTGGCACACTTGAACAAAACCCCCACCCCCCTCTCCACACCTCCTTATGCCTGCAAAAAGCTATTCCGCACCCACTGTCTCTCCCTCATTCTGAAGATCGGCTGCACCCTGAGGCTTCCACTCTTGATCCTCATATCTCTTCTGCCTCTGGCCTCTGACTCACTGGTGCTGGCTTCTTCTGGTGAGGGTGGCCCTAGGATGGAACCCTCTTTGCCCCACATATCCTCAGGGCCAGTGGATGCCCCTTGCTCAGACTGCAGAGGGTGGGCATCTGGAGGTGGCCAGGTGACCAAGGAGAAAGCCTGGCCAGAGCTCCCAACCTCACTATCATCAGCCTCCTCCTTGATGGAGTCCACACCCCAGAGGGTACTGGACTCTGCTACTTCCTGGGCACTGGGCCTGGCAGCTCCCTGATTGTATCTGTGCCCGGCCCTTCCCAAGCTGGGCACAGTTCGTTCTTGGGTGGGGGAGGCCCTCCCAGCTGGCAGAGGGTGAATGGGCTGGGGCAGGCGCTGGCTGCCCTGCTCCTCTGTCCCTCTGAGGTCTCCTGCTACTTGGCTGAGCTCCTCTCCGCCCTGGGTAAGACATGTGTGCTGTGAGCCAGGGTAAGGAGAGGCTGGATCTGCTGAGCCTGTGCTTCCTAGGGCGTGGGGTGGCTCATAGCCCCAGCCCCTCTCCCGTTTCCCGATTCCTCTGTCACAGCCCCATTTTCAGCCCACACCCATGTTGCCTGGCTGTGATTTTCTTCCTCTGGGCCCTGGACACACGGCAACAGCTTGCACTTCTTTGGTGATGGTACCCCTTTCTGCTCAGTCTGAACACTGCTTTCTGTAAAGATAACCAACTCTGCGGGCGGAGGGCCCTGAGCCACAGGGGCCCAGACCTGTGCATTCTCCTGCCTGCCCACAGCTCTGTGGCTCCTCCCCCCTCGCTTCGGCTTTGCCTTCATAATTTTCATGGAGTTCTCCCACGCCTCTTCATCTCGAATGAGCTTTACTAACTCCAGCAAGGTGGGTGGGCACTCTCGCTGATCTAAGACCTCTAGCTTGCCTCGGAGGGTGGCACTCATGGAAGCCCGAGCTAGAATATGCTTGAGGCGAACCATGTCTGTGCTCTGTGTGGAAAATGGGCGTTGCCGCACCACTTTCTGCAGCAGGGGCTCTATGCGCAGCAAGAATGCAGACACCGCTTCATCCACCCTCTGACAAGTCTGAAGAAGCCTGAAGTGCTCTGTTTTATAGTCCTCTTTACTGCCATAGATCTCCTTGAGGGCGTCCAGGCACTGCTCCACAGTGATGGAGTCGTTGTTGGCCTGGAGCACCCTAATGATGGACAGCGCCGGGCCACACAGGCTCTCTAGCAGGCGCCTCCGCTTCTCTATCTCTGACACCTGCCACACCTGCATCATCTCACTGACCTGCTCCAGCCAGTTCTCAAACGTCTCCTCGCCTACTCCTGGGAAAGGATTTCCCGAAAACACTTTAAGTTTCTGGTACCACAAGCTTTCTTTCAGAGGCTGCAAAACTATTGGCTTGAATGGGTCCACACTTCTTATATCCATGTCCTCCATGGTAAGGGTCCTAGCCACATCTCCAATTTTCCGGCCCTCATCTTTCAGGAAGTATTTCAGCCTATTGAGAAACTCCTCATCTGGGTTACGGGGTTTGACCACCACTTCCCAGGAACCCCCTTTTCCAGGTATACAACTGGGTATCGTGGTGTAGTTAACCACATCAGCCAGCTCAAGGAAGACGGCCTTAGCGTTGTCCTCCCTTCTGAACATCCTGCCTACTACCTTGTATGCACTTAGGGGGTACAGACCCGCCTGTACCGTCTCCCTGATTTCAGTCTCACTGCACTCCACAGGGATGCCCACAATCAGCAGGGCCTTCCTGGGGTCCAGATCCATCCCCTTGCACCAATCCTCTAACAGCACCACAGCCATCGTGCCCTCTTTCTACCAGCTAGTGATGTAGCGCGAGGCAGCGATCAGCTCAGAGGTGCACAGGACGCAAAGAATTCTGGGCCAGAGCCAAGTAGACAGGCAGAAGTGTCCAAGGTTCCACAGCCTGTCAATGCAAATGGGGTGAGGGCACAGTGAGCGCTTGCACCACCCTCTCTGCCCCTGCCGTCACTTTGTGGAGCAGCCCCCCAGGCAGAGCTCCCCCCACCTCACCACATTCCCTGCCGGCACTGCTGACCTCTTCCTGCTGCGGATCCCTCCTTGGAAGTTCAAGGACTTGGCTGTGCTAGCGTGCTGCAGCTGCCTGTGTCAAAAAGGCAATGTCAGCAGGCAAGGCCTGATGCCTGCCGGGGACACTGGAAGAGCTCTCCTCCAGGGAGAGTGGAACAACCTGCTGCCAGTGTGGGGCTGTGCACATCCAGGGGTGAAGGGTGACTGCAGGAGATGCAGAGTGTCCCTCTTTCTCGGGAAATGCCTACCAGTGGGGAGGATGGTCAGGCTGGGCAGTGTGACGCCCAGGTGGGCATGCAGAGCGTGCGCCCAGAACAGCTGGACCTTGGGTTTGTACCTCGGGCATGTCGTAAGGGAAGGGGATGTCAATGCCCCTGACTAAGAAGGTCACCGTCCTGGAGAGGGACAGGGGGGTGGAGTAGTGTGAGCAGCCAGCACAGCATGAATGCTGCAAAACAAGAGCTTCTGGTTTCAAACTACCAGAGGTAGGAAAAGAACCCCCAAAGGGTTTGCACTTGTATGATACTGGAGGGAATACAACTGTCACCCTTTTGCTCTTCGCCAGGGTCTCCAGGGCCCCCCACCAGGCCCACTTCCCAACTCCTCACCGTTACACTGTGGCCCCAATGGATGGCGTCCTCTAGGTCAGTCTGCCCAAGCAGATTCTGCTTCTCCAGATCTGTTCAAGGCAAGAGAGAGGTGTTTTCACTGTGGTCCTTTCCCGAGGGCCAGCTGACTTTGCATAAGTACCCTCCGTACCCTTGTACACTGGGACGCTCAACTTTACACTGTTGCTGGGACACAAGGGAGCTAGGGGAGGGCCTTCCTCCCCCTGTACAGCCAGCAACTCTCGACAAACTCCGCCCCGAAAGACCCCGCCCACATCAAGTCCCGCCCACTCGAAAAAGCCCCACCCCCACTCTGTCCAAATTCAGCACCCCCCTTCCTTTGTGCTTCTCCCCACCCCCATGAAGCGGATCCTAGTGGTGCCCGCCTATTTCTCATCTCCCAGCACGAAGAAGCTCCGGGAAGAGGGGTAAAAAATGGCTTGAGGCCTGCCTGGGTAACAGATAATCACTGTTTAACAAACCCATCGTGCCCCACACCCCTTCACATTCACACCCCACCTCATGTATTCCCTGTGCCAGACTGGGAAAGTTCTGCCTGGTGGAAGTCGGCAGAGGTTCGGAGAGGAAGGGCCCAACTCTAACAGGCCCGTTTGAATTTTCCAGGCGAGTCGCCAGGCTGAAAAATGACGGAGGGCCCTTCGGGGGTCCCCAGAGGGACATTGCTTCTAGCAGGGGCCCTGGGAGAAATCCCCTGCCATCTGGGTTGCCCTCTGTGGCCCAGGCCCAGGCCCAGGCATCCTACCTGCCGGAGCTCCTGCAAACCGCGAGCAGACGTGCCAGTCACCGCCTCCACCACAGGGACGGGACCACGAGGTCAGGCGGTTAGGGTCTTATATAAGGTTGCCCAGCCTCCCCGCCCACAGCGCTGCTGCGTGGCCCCTTGGCGCCTGCGCACTCACGCTGTCCCGCCCCCTCCCCCCCAGAAATTTCACCGGGTGAGCGGGGAATTCGAAGTCGCCAAGAAGCCCCTCAGGGTGCAGGGTAGATCCGAATCCAGCTCTCTGCTGACTCCATAGAAATCACCAGGCTCACTTCGTGTCCCGCTGCTCGACACGTGTCCCGCGGGAGCAGCGGCCATTGCTGCTCCTAATTTACATATCGCCCCTCATTGGACGCTGCTGTATTCAACCTTGGCGCCAGGCTGGGTGCAGAGCGCGGCCGTGTGCAAAATACGGCACCTAGAGCCAAGTGTGGAGCGGGATGCAAACTGTGGGAACCGGGTGCGAAATACAGCCCGGGGCACAAACTGCAGGGCCGGGTGCAAAGTAATGGCCCCATGAGTGCTTATCAACTTAAAGGTAGGCTCCCTGTTTATTTTGATGTTACTTACTTATTTTTGTGTACTGGGAATTGAACCCAGGACCTTTGCACGGAAATGCAGTCCCCCAGCCCAGAGTGCATTTATTTCTTTATTTGTTTTGAGACAGGGTCATCTCCCCAAGTCGCTAAATTGCCTAGGCTGGGCTCCAAGTCTGTCCTCAGCCATCCATAGTGCTGAGATTGCAGTCTTATGCCACCGCGCCTGGGTTCCTTGTTGGTTTTTTATTAGGCTGTGTTCTGCTAGGGGAGGAGGGCAAAAGAAAAAATAAATGCATCTGCTTCCCGCCTTTCAGAAAGGCACGAACATTTTCAGGTTCACTGATAAACTATGACAAGATCCTATTTTCCAGCGATTCTCTTGATTTCATAACCAATTATTGCCTACGTACTATCCTACATGCTCACTACCCTTTCCCAATGCAAACTCTCTCCGAAGAAAGAACGTTCTGGAAAAGGCCGGGTCGGGGCACATACAAATTCCAGAAAAATCCCTGGAAACCGCGGCTACCACACGGTTCTGAGTCGGGTGGTCTTGGGCGCAGCTGAGTCTGAAACATGGGACCAGTGTGCTGGAACCATGCCCAAACCTTGTGTCAAAAGCCCTGAAGCCTGGGAATAAATTTCAGGGCCAAAAGTTGTGGATCTATTTTCATTTCTTTCTCAATTCTCTTTTTATTTTAAATCCCCTTTCCCTCCCTTCATTTGCTTTTTTTTTTAACCGGGGATTGAACTCGGCACTTGCGAGGCAGGCAGCCGGCACCACTGAGCTAAATCCCCAGCCCTTTCCTATCATCTTTTACTTAGCCCTTTATTTATACTTTGGGTCTCTCACATAAGAAAAACCATGCGCTTTTTAAGTTTGTGTGTCTGATTTCTTTCACAGGACATCATGGTCTCAAGGTGCCTCCATTTACTAGGGAGGGGAATAAGATTTGCAGGAAACAGAGAGGGATAGGAGGGGAAACCAACAACAACAACAAAAAGGAGTTAAAATGTGTTATGTACACGTCCAAACTCCCCACGATAAGTGTAATCATTGTGTCCACTATGTCCTGTAAGCATGGACTACTAAAAACAAATTTTAAAAAAGAACCAAATTTTAAAAAGAGCAGATTGCAGGTCTTTGCTAGCAGAATAGATTTGCTTTGCTTCATGTGGGATAAAAAAGAAAAGGCTTTTCTGGGATGTTTTAATAAAAATATTAGAAGCAGACTAAAGGAGACTGAGCGGTACCGCCTCTACCACCCACAGGCCCTTTCCTTCCAAGTCCAGCCCCTCGGCGGGGATAGTGTAGACGCCTGGGCTTCCTGACCCTAGGGAGGGCTCTTCAGCAGAGGCCGACAAAGCTGACTGGAAACACTGGCTACTGCACCCGCTGAGACAGGTGTTGGAGAGGTCTGCACGGTGCCCCTTTGATGTTTCCCTCAAATTTAGTCAACCGCCTCCACAGGATGATACCGAGGGCCACAGGCAATCCGGAAAGCCTTCTCTGCCAACATCGGGGAATGCTTCAGATTTCACAGGAGGCAAGTAACCTCAACTGGCCGCAGTGCACAGAAATGCTGGCAAAAACGTCAAAGTGAGGCAAGGGTCAGAGCCAGCATTTTTTTTTTAAATAGGAAACAATGAGTGTACTATTTCTGTATTTGTACTCACCTCAAAAAATTTGAATTAAAGCGATAAGATCTTTTGCATCTCTTTGTACGTTCTTGTACATTTATGTGCATTTATGTTACTTTCCTCATAGGGTTCCCACACTCACAGGCGAATAAGGAAGCTCACCTGCTAGCGAGCCTAAGAAACAGGATTTTTCAAGGGCCTCAAAGTCCAGGATTCATCTGAATGTGGAAACTGGAGGCAGTATGGCGTGGTGAGTTCACAACTTGCTTTCCAGTCCTTGAGAGGCTTTGCAAAGTTCAGTCTAAGATCCCTTATAAATACTTCCAGCAAAGCAAACTTTAGAAGACCTAGATGGAGCAACATTGTGATTTTTTGCCCCAGAAAAGTTGAATTTCTTATTTTACATAACGTCAGTAAAGAGGAAGAAAAAAATTGAGTTGTCTCACAGACTGGCAGGTGGCTTTATTAGCACCCTTTCATTTCCAAACCTCACCACGCAGCCACTACATTTATGAGGTAAGTCAGCCAAGTGCTTGAAATCCAAATGAATTTAAGGTCTTCAATTTGTCCTGTTGAATACTGACATACACAAATCCCTTCAGATAAATGTGAGTTTAAATGCGTGAGCGTACTCTGGCCTACGTGAAAAGCCCTTTCCATGGTCTTTGGAAACATGAGGAAATATTTTAGTATGTTAACAGCAACATGCCTGTTAATATCTGTATGAAGTCTACTCTGAAAACCACACACTTTACCTCCGACGAAGTTCTTACATTTGTCAGAAGTTCTTACATTTGTCATTTTGCTTCCGAGGCTGTGCCATCCAAGTTCTCTGCTGCTATGCACATGCCTTCACTCTATTCATTTATAGGCATGCTCACTTACCGCGTGGCTGTGCAAGTCTTCTGCATGGTAGTTTCATGGTCACAGGAGGGGCACAAGCAAAGCTCATCACAGTCGTGCTCCTGAACTTGGCAGGTGACTGATCCAGGTAAGGCACAAATTTCAACATCAGCACATTTTTCAGTGTAGTCTGGAATTCTAAGCAGTGGCTGGGAGCCAAGTAGTTCTAATTTTGGCTTCTGGTCTTGATTCCTTCCGCAACTTTTGTCAGGTCATTTGAAGTCTCAGTATCAGAATATTTTTTGTCAAAATATTTTAAGTCTGGCAGTTTCAAAGAACAGATATTGAAGAGTGAGATGGGTGTAAAGTCTTCCTTTTTCATTTTTTAGGAATGTGTATCTTTTCAATTTGATTTTCAATTCTCTTTTTTTTGAGACAGGGTCTCACCTTTTAGTTCAAGCTGACTTGAGCTCACTATGTAACCCAGGCTGGCACTGAACTTGTGGCGATCCTCCTGCCTCAGCCTCCCAAGTGCTGTATCCCAGTCGTGCACCACGCCTAGCCTCAATTTGATATAATTCTTAATACGGCAGTGAGGAAAAACTCATTATTGGGAAGTGTCCACAAATGGTAAGAATTGTCTCACTTTTTACCTGATGAGGACACATACTCCGGGAAAGTCAGATGCTGAGAAGTGGCAGAACGGGGGCTGCAATACTGGTCTTCCACTTCTGGGGTGCTGGAGCAAATCTTCACTGCTAAGCACTGCTACCACCTGGATCCCAGTGGTCCAGCCCCAAGGGCGGATGCCCAGGCCCTGTGCTCTGCCACCCCGTGCTCTGCCTGCCGTGCTGCCAGGCCCAGAGCCGCCCTGCCATGCTACAACACCGTAATTTTGAATGCCACTGAATTGTAACCAATTGGAGAAAATGACACATCTTATACTGCATATATTTTTATTATAATTTAAGAAATTAATAATGTAATAAACCCAATCTACTGGGTTACATATTTTATTTATTTTATTTTGGTACTGGGGATCGAACTCGGGTCCTTGCTCTTGCTAGGCAGGAGACGTCACCATTGAGCTAAATCCCTGGCCCTATATATTTTATTTTTTAAAAACATTTTATTGGTACATTTTAGGTATACAGTATGGTTACATTCATCATTGGGATCTTGCACCTTTACATGATATATCTTGGTTCTTATTTTTTCCCCATTCCCCTGCCCTCCCTTCCCGTCCTCCATCCCTATTTATAAAGACTTTGTTTCCATTTTTTCCTATCCCTTCTTAGCTTTCCCCTACCCCTCCTACTTCCCCTACACCATTAGACATTTTTTCTATTACACTATATCAATTATGCATTTTGACCCCTATTTACACTTTTAGTTTATCACACCAGAGAAACTATACGATATTTACACATGTGTGTCCTATTAATTTCACTTAAGAGTATGGCCTCAATGTGCATCCACTTAGCTATAAATGTCTCTAGTTTCTCATTCCTTATGGCGGAGTAGTATTTCATTTTATAAAAAGAAAAACTACATCTTCTTTATCAAGTCTCCAAGTTGATGGGCTTTTGGGCTGTTTCCAAGTTTTAGCTATTACAAACTGTGTTGCTATAAACAGGGTTGCACATATATCACTGTGGTATGATTCTTTTAATTTTTTTTTGGGGGGGGGTTACCCAGCAGGGGTATAGCTGGTACAAATGGGACCTTTAATCCTAGTTCTTTGAGGTATCTCCATATTGATTTCCACAGTGGTTGCACCAGTCTGTGCTGCCATCAACAATGGAGAAGGGTTCCTTTCTCCCCACAACCCTGCCAACATTTGTTTTTGTGTGATTTCTTGATAGCAGCCATTCTTTCTGGGGTGAAGTGGAATTTCAGTGTTGTTTTCATCTGCATCTCTCTAATGACCAGTGATGTGGAACATTTTTTCATATATTTACTTGCTGCTTTTACTTCTTTGTCTGAGAAATGTCTGTTCATTTCAGATGCCCATTTTTGAATCGGGTCTTTATATTTGTGGGGGGCTGATTGTTTTGAGTTCTTTGTATATTCCAGATAGTAGTCCTTTGTCTGAGAAGCACATGGTAAAAAAATTTTCCCACATTGTAGGTTGTCTCTCACCTCTACTTGTGAATTCTCTTGCAGTACAGAAGCATTTTTAAAAAGATGAGATCCCAGTTGTTGATTCTTTGTGCTAGGTCCCATGCTACTGCGGATTTGTTCATAAAGTCTTTTCCTATGCCAATGTCTTCAAGAGTTCTACCTAATTTATCTTCCAGCACGTTCAGTGTTTTTGTTT